GAGAGCAGCCAGAAGCAGACCCCTCCACCACGTCGGGCTACAATCCCGCTTATTTTTTCCCTCCTCTTCCTCCTTCTCTCTCTCTACATAATCTTCCTCCCTCCCCAATCCCGAATAGATACTCCTGTCTTTTCGGATCCTCCCTCAACCCCTCCACTTAGACCACATTCAGAGAGCATTCCTGCCTCCGATTCCACAATGTCTTCCTCCGAGCAGACGTGAGAGCTTCCCATCCCGATCTGCCGATTGGATTTTTTTCTAACTGAGGGGCAGCTTCATTGCCATCAAGCCCGACGGTGTCCAGGTAAGATTGGGCAAACCTTGAATATGATGATAAGCAATAATGGCTGACAATTTCTTCTACAGCGTGGCCTGGTCGGTCCCATCATCTCTCGCTTCGAGAACCGTGGCTTCAAGCTCGTCGCCATCAAGCTCACCACCCCCGGCAAGGCTCACCTCGAGAAGCACTGTTAGTGTTAACCGGCCGCTTAACTGAATTGATCGAACACAACACTGACCATTACGCTACAGATGCCGACCTCGCTGGCAAGCCTTTCTTCCCTGGTCTGATTGAGTACATGAACTCCGGCCCCATCTGCGCCATGGTCTGGGAGGGCCGTGACGCCGTCAAGACCGGCCGTGGTATGTAACCTTCCATCCCTACAAGGCAGATGTGTCTCGTCAGGTTCAATTGACTAACGATCATGCCCAATAGTCATCCTCGGTGCCACCAACCCCCTGGCTTCTTCCCCCGGTACCATCCGTGGTGACTTCGCTATCGATGTCGGCCGAAACGTCTGCCACGGCTCCGACTCCGTCGAGAACGCCCAGAAGGAGATTGCTCTCTGGTTCAAGGAGGGTGAGACCGTCAGCTACAAGGGCGCCCAGTTCGACTGGATCTACGAGAAGGCTTAAGCTTCCAACTCCATATTGGGAGGCACAACAGTCTCTTCAAATGATCTGGTTGTCAACATGGCCGGTGGAATGCCAAAAATAAAAGAATACTAGGAATGAAGAAAGCTCGTTGAACTCAAACTCTATTGTTTCCCCATCTATCTTGATTACTTGCCCATCACCTTAGACCGAAGTCTCACCATCACGCCGGCAAACCAAGGCGTAGCCCAAACGCTCCCAATGATCCTCACGGGTAGGAGCACCTTAGTCAAAGCGTAGGCCAGGGCAACTTCCACCAAAATCTTGTACTTTTGGTCTCCGCTTTGCCAGCGTTGCACAGCTTCCTCCGTCCTGGCCTCGGGGTCCTCGGATCCCGCTCCAGGGATGGAATTGGCCCCCTCTGTCTGCTTCTCGAACCCAGCCCACCCCTTTCGCGAAAAGTACCGTTCGAACTTGGCAACGCTACTGTCGACGTAATTCCCAAAGTGTTCGGTCATGTAACCCAAGGGAACGTAGTTGGTGTAATGGAAGAATCCAAACAGCACAAAAAGAGGTACGACGGCCGTCAATTCGTGCAGAATCAGGAAGGAAACGACGTGCGATACGGGCGCATTCCGGAGGCCGTTTGTGTACTTTTGTAATCGGCGCGGGAGCTTCGAAGTTATACGGTCGATTCGGGATCCTTGCGCCGTCGATTGGGATGACTGGAAGCGGGCCGTCGGGAAAGCTAAGGAACGGGAAGGAGGTGCTCCTGCCCGCCAGCGGGCCAATATTCGAATTCGTGGAAGCATCGGAGCAAGCGGCAGTTTTCAGGAAGAGGGGAGTAAGTTTTCGAGGTGCATCGGTTTGAAGAACGGTTGTGTCCCACTCTCCGCTTACGCTTACGGATCATGCACGGGCCGGCATGTACTACCCTATATCCGAACGACAACTTTCGTCCCATCACTTCCCTACCTATAGTACCTAGGTAGTTCTAGTCTAGCTTGGAAGCTTCATGATGCTGCTTAGGAAGATATGCCTAGGTCGCTACTATCATAACAGGCCTTGGGCAGTTTGCCGCATCGATGGAGCCCACCTGCTCCTTGGATCAACCTTCCTTGCGGCACCTAACAACTTCACGAGAACCTCCTCCCTGGGTTGCTGGAACCAACGTGAACACTCAACTAGTTCCTTCCAATAGAAAGGGTTTTGTGTCATATAGGCACCTACAGCATGGGACGTTGCCACGAAACAATTGAATGTACCAGTATCTACCACCAATTCTTGGTGCCTTCCATAGTACCTAGGTACCTTAGGTACAAGCAAGTATGGATCGCCTTAGTTATAACCTTCCTATCGAAATACTGCCCAGGGCCGAGTCCTTATGGCAGGTGGGAAGGTGGCGAGTTGGCTTTCCTTCTATCGGGGAAGTTGCTGTGTGCCTACGGCAAGCACCTCCAGTTCAGGCTGGATCGCGAGAATGCGACGACACAGCGGGAACATATATTTAGATCCTTGAAGTGCACTTTGGCTTTGAAAATCTAAAAGCCATCCTCAATATTCAATTTCCCTTGCTCTGTTCATCTCGAGTGTCGAATACCTGGCCATTGGAGGCCCGAGTCCACACGGCTTCACTCTTCTCCCCCTCCCTAGTACCTTCCTTGATTAGGGCCGGGAACTTCTCCTGCCGGGAGGCAACGTCACCATCGTACAATGCCCATAGAGGTGCATCCGCCTCACTCAAATGGTGGGAAGGTGCAATGGCAGAGGCCCACGTACTACGTCGGAGCCCAAGCCAGATATCTTGGGCTTTTCGTTCCTTGAAACTCGCACCTCTTCTTCTTCACCCTTCATACTCACCACAAGTCTTCAAATCAAGACCATTGTCTGAAAAATCCTCAACGATTATCGCCCACTACCTCTTCTTTCTTAAGCTCCATCGCTTGGAAAGCCCACGATCACTCAACCATGGCTATCATGAAGTTTGTTGCCTACGCAGTGGCGATTGCAAGCCTTCTGACTGTTGCTACTGCTCAGAAGTATCCCAAGGAGGATCTCATACTCTGCGACTGTGGAATTGGTGACAACAAGGAGCACTCTGAGTGGTCCACATCCCGCCAAGTCAATTGGTATCAAGACATCGCCTGGCCTAACTCTGCTACCTCATACCCTGCTGCCCCCAATGAAACTGTGGAGGTACCATTTGAGGAGGGAATCTACCCATGGACACCCGCAGGTGTCACAGCAACACTACCTAACGGCGACGTTTGGACGGCCTACATTGAAGATGGCACTCCGGATGGGTTCAAGGCAGGAACAGCTGTCGGAACCAAAGAAGGTGGGCAGTCTCTCAACTGCTGGGCCTACCGCGGACGTCCTGTCAGTCGCGCTCTCAATACGACCATCAACGAGGATGCAATTTGTTGGTCTGCTTTTGTTTGCAACAGAGACTCTCAGCCTCCTAAACGACCAGGTGACATGACAAACCCTACTACTACCCCAGCAACCGTGTCCGCTCCTTCCGCCACATCTGTGTTCACAACCTCGCCTACTGCCACCGGTGGTGGACCGCAACCTACACAGCCACCTCAAACCGGCAGCCTGCTCGTAAGTGCAGCCGTCAACCCCCGTTTCATCAACTGGCAAAACACTTGGGACGCTTTCATCTCGAACTTTGTTTGGGACCGTACGACTGGCGACTGCATTGGGGAACCGATCCGTGGAGATGGCTTCAACATAACACTCAAGTGTTCTGGAACCCAGATTGACGAGGATTCTCATATGACCCTGCTTTTGATAAAGGCCCTGAGAGATGTAGGTCTTACAAGTCTTTGGTTCAATCAGAATCCCATCGTCCCCACTGGAACCATAGGCCGCAGTAATTCCACAAGCTGGGTCGTCATGCCCGAGGCGTTTAGTCTTACAGCCATCGACGCCTCCACATCACATGTCGTTGGGCAGATTTCATACAACACAAAGTACGATAACTTCCTAGCCGGTCCTTGCTCAACCTGCGAGGCTGCTCGTTTCGACAAGACCTTCTTTGACCCCCTGATTTTGGCGTTGGAGGGGAGTTATCCAAAATACTTCCGCTACACAATTCAGGCCAATTGTGAACCCTGGAGAGTTTGCAAGTGATTGGAGGATGATATACTGAATGGGTGGTAGAGATTGTTGACATCAGAGATATGTCCCTTGTTTTGTTTTGGAAGTCATCGAAGATACCGACTGTCCTTGATGTGAAGGAATCGGGTGCATCATGATGTACTCATCACTTGATCGTAACTGATTTTGACCAGCTATTTGTTCCGGCCAAGGCCTGCTTCAATTCATAGCTGAATGAAACTTTATTTGTCTTCAAACATTAGGTCACTGTGGGCCGTTTTGATAACTACACAGTTTCGTGTCAGATGTTGGCGAGATTGCACAAGAGGTAGGGGATGGTTGAGGAGTCTCCTACCTATGGGTGAAGATACAGGAGATATCTGGTTTCGACAGGCCGACATTTTCGTTATCGATTTGATTTTCCGCCGTGATACGGGATGGCTGTGATCGGCCCTTTCGATGGCACAGGTCGTTGCCTACCCCAGTGTTTCCCCAAAATCCAGAAATGGGATTGCCCAGTCAGATGAGCATTGGTTGACTGTTGGTAGGGACTTTATATGATGTTGAAATTGCTACGGAGTTTCTTCCCTGATTCAGGAGATCACGATCCGTCCAATCTTCTTTAGTTGCCAGCTATGGCTGTTGCCTAGTACGCGAGCACTGACACCAAATTAGAAACTGGCCCGAATAGCCGTTCACGGCAGTCGGCACCTCCCTCCTTTCTGACCATAGCTCTGCCGAGTTGGTCGAGGCTGACGCGGACGATGATGCTTAATTAGTGTGCCGGCCGGAGCGTAGTTTTACCCGAAGAGTAACTGCGGCTCCGGTTTTCAACCTGTGCATGTTTGATGTGCTATTCGGAAATGTAAGTGCCGAGCCAAAGAAAGTATAAAATGTCTTGAAGTGATGGGCTGTTGATATTTCTCCAAAACATATTTCAAAGCTCCCTTTGCAGTCAATTCAGATATACACCGATCTCCTCTTTAGCATCAAGTACTAGGCCTTGCAACCGATAACCTATCATGTCGCCTTCCAAACCCGTACTCATTATCGGCTCTGGCCTTTCAGGTCTTGCACTCGGTCAATCTCTCAAACGTCTCGGTATCCCTTTTCATATCTTTGAGCGCGACGCTGCAGATGATCAGCGCGCTCAGGGCTACCGTATCCGGATCAACCAAATCGGCCTTGACGCTCTTCGTACATGTGTGCCAGAGGACATCTTTAAACGATTTGAGGAAACCACTGGAGAGAACTGCAAACCGAGTGGTAGCCGTCGGGATCCCAAGACATGGGCAGCTCTGCCAGGACGAATGGGCCCTCCACCGCCTGCTCAGACTCCAGGCGTTGAAGGGAAGCCTCAGCCTAAAAACACGGGCATGGGTTTCTCTCTGCCTGCCGACCGAAGAGTAATGCGCTCAGTCCTTTTGTCTGGACTCGAAGATTCTGTGACGTATGGCAAATCTTTTGCGGATTACACCATTACCGACACGGGTGTCATTGTTCATTTCACTGATGGGACGACCTCCGGTGAAGGTTCTCTCCTTGTGGCTGCGGATGGTCTGCACTCTAAAGTGGCTCGCAAGCTTGCAGGAGAGAGGTTGCTGCCCAAGCCAACTGGGTCTTGGATGATATTTGGGAAAACGATTCTCACTCCTGAATTGGTCCAATCCGTCAAGTCAGATTTGACGACAAACATGTCTATCATGGTAGAAAAGGACGACCAGGGGAGGTCATTGAACTTTTTCTCGGAGCCGATGCGATTCAGTCATTCGGGAGCACCTAGCGATTACCTGTATTGGGTTCTGCTCACAACCGAGGACAGGCTGGGTATGACGGGGGCGCAGCTCTCCAAGCTCAGCTCGAAAGAAGCCGCGGACTTGTCTCGTCGACTCGCCGAGTCGTGGCTTCCGGATACCAGGCCCGTCCTGGACCAGCAGGAATCCGCAGAAACTGCAGTCTTGAGAATGAACACATCGGCCATCGACGGCGTGCCGACCTGGCCCACGTCGGAACGGGTCACGCTCATTGGTGACGCCGTGCACTGCATGCCTCCGACTGGAGGCTCCGGCGCCAACACGGCTCTCAGGGACGTAGCGACATTGAGTAAGAAGCTGGAAGAGCATGTGGATGGGGATGGATGGAGCAAGAAGGTGATCCAGGCCTATGAAGAGGAAATGCGTCCGTATGCTAGCGATATTGTGGCGCTTAGCTATGAGGCTGCTATCGTTCGCTTCGGTGCGAGCCCGATCATCTCTGAATGATGCTTGGCGGCTTTGAATGAGCGAACACTCTTGTGTATTGTATTATTAGTTCACTTCATGTAGAAATCCTTCGTATGTGCTTGCCTGTTCTGAGCTGGTTGATGCAAATGTTTCGGTCTGGTCGGTGAGATGGCAACGGATAGAATGGGATATTGCTTCTTAATTCCGTCCTCCGTATGCCAAATGGGGCATCTTTCGCGGTTGCTTACTGAACAAGAACCTAACATCCACGTAACTTGGGCCGGGATTACGCACTACGGCAGCCTCGGAGCTCCAATTTTGGGCGAGAGTTTTGAATTCCGCGACAGTCAATGGGGAACTGACCGCTCTACCGACTTTGGTTTCTCATCGCATCGTTTGGCCTTGGTGTTGTGCTGTTGACAAGTTCTATCATCCCCACAATCCTCGGAATGCCGAAGAGCGAAAGGGCTAAGACTCGCGGGGGCTGGTTGAGGTACATCTTCCGTTATTGGGAACATTGACATTGCATCCCTGCAGAACTTCACAAGTTACCCTTCTGGGCGTCTCTGGGTGGATGTGAGCAATGCGAGTGCGAGGATGGGGCGACGAAGCAGGTCTGCCTGCTTTAATATGGTTCTTGCATATATAAGTTCAGTTGTCTCGGCTCATCAACATCTTGATCTCGCTTCAAGCACATAGACTGTCTGATTTAGATGATAAAATCTTGTCACTGAACTTATCTGGCCCTGACGTTCCGAATAAACTGCAATCAAAATGGTTTCTATAAACATACCCAATGGACAAACGGCTGTCAAGGTCAAGGTGATTGACAATGGAGCACGCATCACAGGGCCGATGGCATTCTTCCTCGACCCGCCGCTTATCGCAGAGGCACAGAGGCGCGAGAAGATGTACGCCCCCGCGTTTAGCTTCTTAGTTGAGCACGAAAGTCTTCAGCGGAAGGTCGTGTTTGACCTTGGCATCCGAGCAAACCCTGAGCAGTGCCCGCCGGCGGTGTTGAAATACCACGAGGCATTCTCCCTGGTGGCTGGCCGAGAGGTCTATGATGTTCTGAAGGATGGGGGTGTAGATTTGAGCACTATTGAAGCGATCATATGGAGGTATGTGAGAGGATGGCTACATATTGGAAAAAGAAATACTCATTTATTTTCAGTCATCATCATATGGATCACACGGGCAATCCGAACGGCTTCCCATCCACCACCGACTTGATTGTAGGGCCGGGGTTTAAGGAGACCCTGCTACCAAGCTACCCCGAAAACCCCCAGGCTATGATAGGCCAGAGGGATTACGAAGGGCGAAGCCTTCGGCAGCTTGACTTCAAAGAGGAGTCGAAAGGGTTAACAATCGGGGGCTTTCCAGCCATCGACTATTTCGAAGACGGGAGCTTCTATCTGCTCCAAGCACCTGGTGTGAGTTAGCCCCCCGCAACATGGTGAAAACGGCCAGACTGACGAACGATGGAAACTAGCACTCTATTGATCATATGGCCGGATTGGCCCGGACAAGCACCTCGCCCAAAAGATTCATCCTCATGGGGGCGGATATCGGCCACCATGCATCTCAGTGGCGGCCCAGCGAGCACCGACCGATTCCCAAGGAGCTGACACCCTCTCCCTTCGGGCCTGAGTCCAGGTTCAATCTCGGCCTGAATGTGTGCCCCGGTGAGATCTTCACTGAGCATGTGCACCCTCAAGGCCGCAATGATGTCCCCTTCACCAAAGTCAAGGCTGGCCATCCCTACGACGCGGAACAGGCGCAGAGAGACGTCGAAAAGATGGTCTCGTTTGACGAGGACGACAGGATCATGGTAATCGCGGCTCACGACTTCACCCTCCTCCCCATGCTGGAGTACTTCCCGGAGGAGGCAAATGGGTGGCATGAGGCGGGTTGGAAAGAGTCGAGCCGCTGGGAGTTTCTCAAGGCTCTTGCCTGCCTCGTCCCGGAAACGGCTGCCCGGACCTAGAGGGCTGTGGATGTATCTCGGGGTGTATTTGGAGGAAACAACAGGGACGAAATAATACCCGTGATTTAGAATCATGGCGGTAATTCCAAGAATCATTAGGAACCGTGGAGGGCTCTGTACCAATCTCAAATCAGGACAATATCTCTCCAAAATACCTTGGTTGCAACATGTTCCCCATACATGACCCCATGCACGTACGTATCGCCCACCAAACGGAACGCATCCTCCTCCTCTGGGACCCTCCTCATGACCAGAGGTGTCGGACATCCCTTGACTATCATGACCCTGTCGCCAATCTGAGCCGTGAGCGGGACAAGGCAGAGCAAGCCTCTGACCGTCCTGGCTAGCCGCCTGCTGAACGGGAGGGTCGCCCTCACAAGGCCCTCGTAGGATTCGGCTTCGCGGCCGAGCCGCTCCATGAACTCGTTTCTCTCTGGCTCGGTCATGGCCGGCACAGCTGGGTCTGGGAAGCATCCGAAACGGCGGAGCAGATGGATCATCTCTTCGGAGGTCGGTAGAAGATTTGTGGAATCGCGGGAATTGGAGAGGACGAAGAGTGGTTCGAGAGAATCAAAGATGTCGTGTGCAAAGCGCGGGGTTCTGATGAATGCTTTGAGGATGGCTGTGACGGTGAGCATCAGGAACCACGATTTGAAGGAGGAGGAGAGCGCGCTGGGTGCGGGGCGCTCGAAGAGATTGGTGTCCATTATGAGCGCGCGCCAGAGACTTTCGACAATAGGCTGGTTCGTAGATTTGTACGTCTCGCCGCAGTGCAGGAGAATTGTGATGGTGTTGAGAAACTTCCCGGCCAGAAGGTCGGGCCAGGCCTCACCCAGTTCTTCGATGGAGCCGAGATTGGGGCTCGCGGCTTTGACGTTTAGACGACGCTGAGCCTTGTCTAACTGGAATTCCGCCGTGTAGGAGCCGGAGGCATTGAAGATGGAGACTCTCTTATAATTGGGGCCTAGGATGGGTACGTGGGCAATTTCAAAGGATGGGATCCAGCTTGGGATTGTCGTGGCTGAGACGCGGGACCTGCTCGCTTCTCCCGCGAGGGACAGAAGGTGAAGGGACCCAGTTTCGTGATATAGGAAGAGACCAATATCCGTGAGGACTTTGTCGGGAGAAGACGAGTAGTTGATCGCCAGACTAGGAACGGGAGCATTTGTCCACTTGGCGATGTGGTTGACGATTCCTAGCAGGCCATATACTCGATCCTGGCGGCATGTCGACTGGCATCCTTTGCTGATCAAGAGGACCTTCAGCAGAGCAGCACTAAGAGAGTGGTCATCGATATCGATGCCGGCCAAGAAATCATGGTTTCTTATGACATCTCGAAATGGACTCTCGTCGCCGCGGCACCATTCCCTCAGAATCTGCAGGTTGGTGGCGAAGACGACGCCCTGAACAAGGCTGAAATCCTGCACACCCGAGCCAAAGGCCATAATACCAGAGATGGCATTTGACCCTACGACAAGCAGGGCGGCGTTGCCCAGAGAAGACCAAGGAATGGATCGGTGACCGACAAGGATCGTGGGATTCGACGAGAGGGCGACTTCTTGGATGATCCACACGCGGCTGAACCAAGTTCTTGTGAGGACAGCGGCTAGGTCGGACCAGTCGCTGCGTGTCATGGGAGGGAGACCGCTCCTTTCCAGGGCTTGGGCGTCGTCAGCGATGAAGGCATCGCCGAATGACTGCTCCTTGCCCCATTTCACGATCTGCGACTCGGCATTCGTCGCCATTTCCTCCAGCTTGGACAGTGCGCGTTCGGTGGCCGGGCTGGAAGAGCCCAGCCAGATGACGGTCTCCTCGGCGCCGGCATAGATTGTGTTCATGATGGATACCTGAGAAGCTCGCTCGGCGAGGTCGGCTTGGTTGATGCAGATGCCGTCGATCCAGACGTACTGCCCAGGGCGCGCGCTGACGAGTTGCGTGAGAGCATCAAATAAGTTAGGAAACACAAGGAACGGGCGACCATCTATCCTGATGATCCGGCGATCGGAAAGGGGGTACGGTGTCATGGAAGGCTCGGGAGGCCCCCAAGTGTAGGACAGGGCGATGTATGGAGGGCAGCCGACGACGGGGAATGTCTCGATCGAGAGCTCGGGACACGGTGAGGGGCAGGCAGATGAGACTGGGAGGCGTAGCAATCTGATATGCCCGCTATCTAATTGGGAGCTGTGGCGGAATCCAAAGATAGAAGCCTTGGTCTGGAGCAGAGCATTTGTTGTTGAACCGAGTCTCAGGCGTGCGAACGCCGAGGCGACCCGGAGCAGGAGATTCTTGAGCCATGAGGTCAAACTGAACGTCGCTCGCAGGCGGGCTCCAAGCCCGAGTGCCATAATTGATCCGAGCGGGATGATTCCAACATTTGGTGCGAGGCCAGTTGCGTCGCGTCATGTGAATTGAATGTATGCATGAGGCTGAAATTGGAGGTGAGATGGCAGATTCAGCTTCAGCCGAGTGCATAGCCTCAATCAGTGCCAAGCTTTCACCAGGTGGGAACTGAGCAAGGAAAAGTGATTAGAAGCTGAGAAGGATGAACCCTTTATCCCATTAACCATGGGAAATCAATCAATCATCGATGGCATGCTCTCTAGGTAGTTTATTGTACATCGATTCTAATCTTCCTCGAGTCCCTCAGAGTGATACTCGAATGCTTTGGGAAGCTGTGAGGGAGGGCCATCAGGCGAATCCCCATCAATTTCTACCCCAGCTTTTGTCTTTTCCTCCTTCTTCTCATGCTCTACCTCCTTCTCAGGCTCTATCAGGCTCAAGGAGCGACCTCTAAGTAAACCTGTCATGAACTTGGCCCATTCCCAGGGCCGCTCCCGGCCTCCAGGCATGCTATTGAAATACTCCCAGCCCATGACGCCCCCAAACTGTTTGCCATGTGTCGCCCCGAGGACGTTCAGAACCCCGCCGAGCATCTCAAAGGGCACAAAGCCGTTGCCATTTTCAGGGTTGGTCACCAGACCGATGACGAGCTTCTCCGGCCGCCAGCCCTTGTACTGCATCATATTGTACATGAACGGGTTGCTGCAGTCGCCCCAGCCACAGTAGAACTGCGTGTTGTACCAGGCAATGTCCTTGCCGCGCATCACCTCGAGCGTCTCGTAATCGAAGCCGCTGAGATTCTTGGTAGAGTCGAGCATGGCCGCGGCGACGGGGGCCAGCGTGATGATGAAGGCCGGGCCAAAGTCGCTGCGCAGCCGGTCGATGAGGCGGATGATGCCGCCGAGACTGGTCTCCTCCTCGACGTCGAGATCCAGCCCGTCCAGGGCATGCTCGCGGATCAGGTCGCGCACGGGCGTGTAGTAGCGCTCAAACTGCTCGTCGGAGCCGTCCAGGCGCTCATAGCTGCCCTTGGCGGCGCCGCCCAGCATGCCCATGACCTTGATGTCGGAGGCCTGCAGCACACGCAGCTCGGCCCAGAGGGTCTGGAACCGGGGGTGCGACGGGTGGTGGTCGTTCAGCGTGAGCGCGGCAGGATCATCATTTATGTGGATGGCCGCGAGTATCAGGTGCGTGAGCGAGATGCCGGGCTGGGTGACGAGCGGCAGCACGGAGATGGCGTTGCCGTCCGAGTCGTGGTGTGTCTGGAAGTATGTGATGAGGCGGGGGAGGGGCGATGCCGACGGGATGGGAGCCATGGGCGGCAGAGTTGGATAGGCAGCACCAGACCGCCTCAAAGAGTCGTTGTTGGCGGGATGCTGCGATGAGATCTGGTCCGGTCTGATCTGATCTGATGGCGTGAACTTGTGTCGTGTCTTTTTTTGTCTTGTGTTGGTGCGCTCTCTGCCAACTGGGACGCTTACAGACACAATATATATAAGCGGAGCGCAGCGCCTCAATGGCTCCTTCCTGCAGGCAGCAGCAGCCAATACAATGAATCGCCAGATTTCACACCCTTCATCATATGACGGGGTGCCAACCTGGTTGCACAAATCGAGGCCTGAATATCTATCCTAATAATCACATTTTTTCCTGCTTGACATTGATATTGATATTAAGCTTAAACCTTCAATCCCAGTGCCGAGTCTTGTGCCACAAGCCGCTACCACAGCTATTTCTAAGCCCAAACTCTCATTGGTTGTAAATGCATGAATTATGTCTCTGATTCCGATGTCTCTCCGCTCTCTTCATTTCTGGTTGCCGGGGCTAGTTTCAATTGATCTTGGATGTTTCATCGTAGTAATTCTAGCAGAGGTTGGTGGTTGTAGGATTGGGATCAGGTGTATCAACGGCCAGTTATTATGGCCACTTACCAACCTCGCTTCCGGACCTCGTTCTCCTTCATCTTTTAAATCCAAAGCCGCAATCCTTTGAAATCTACAAGTTTCATCTATTATCTCTTCTAACTTCAGAGGTCAGGCGACAAATGTGGAAGTCATCTTGTGGCTAGACGATGGCTTTGAACAATATCTCTGTCTACTTAGACATGACACCCCAAATAAACCTACTAAGAGTTTCAAACTAAGAGATAATGATAAGAATTTAAAAACGACAATAAGCAACCTAAATCAGATAAAGAGATGGAGGGGGGGGGGGGAGTAAATCTCAAGAAGAAGGGGGGAAGTTAAGGAAGAGGTCAAGAAGAGCGATATATCCTAGGCGAAATACCTATTTCAATATCGCAAAACAGAAATTACGTCAGTTGATCGTTGGTGCAACTATATGTATCACAGTGAAAAGAATTCCGTGATCCGTTCTCGTTTGCTCCTAAAAGGTGGCTTGGAGACCCCTACTGCTATTGATAAAACTCTTTTCTAAGGGGATTAGCTGGTATTCTTGTTACAGCCCAAGGCATGGACAAGGCCCTAGGCGCATTAATTACCTTTGTGTCAATCAGTAATAGCCGCGGCTCTAACTTTGAAATGTCTACTGATGTCCTTTCGAGGATTACCTCTTAATTCATTGCCGCAGTATTCTCTACAATTACTAGCTTTCCATTTACGATAAGCTTAACATGGATTCAATGGTATTAATCACTTATTCAAAAGTTCAGGGACATGATATTTAGGCAGTACTACATTATTATCTTGCTCGTTAACGCTATCTAGCCCACTAACTGGGTGAGGAGCGCAATATAATAATGAGATTGTCACCAATAATCGCATTAGTGAAATGTAAGTCTGGTAATTGTCCTCTCATCGCCCAGATTCTTTCAATAATGCCAGTTGAAGCTTTGAGCAGTCCTAATCTCTACAGACAGACTCCAATACAGTCTGCTCCACCATGCTGAGGGTCGCATCCATCTTCTGGGACGTCGTAACAAGTGAGTCCGTCGGGGCACTGGAGGCCGATGAACCCGCTGCATGAGGGCTGGTTGTTGGGAATACAGATGCCAGGCATGCTGGAGTCGGCGCCAGGAACTCGAGGATCAGGAGAACATCTGCTGCCGGAGGGACAGTTCTTCGGGATGATGCGATTGCCACCGCAGTCGTCGTATTTGCGGATGAATTCACAATGGCCGGGACAGAGACGGATGTCGGTGCACTTTGGGCTGTCTGGGACGCACCGGTAATCTAACGGGCAAAATGGAAGCTTGCGGCCGCAATGGATGGTCTCTCCTTGCTGGCCTGCCACGAGCAGCCCCAATGAAAGAATAGATAGTGTAATGCCGAATTTCATCTTGCCAGAGAGTAGAAAGTGTATACGTAGGATGTTAGAATAGATGAATTGAGTGATATGAACTGTTAGCTAAGGTTGTCAATGCAATATGGTCGGGGGAAGGGCTTCTTAAGGATGGACAAGAATGCGATCTCATATTCTCATCGGGTATCGCCTTGCGCCGGTTCCGCCTCACTTCATGCAAACCGCTTGAGGCTGATTGGACAGAGGACGCAGAAAAAAAGGCAAAAGGGAGAAAGAATGCTAATGATACGATTTCTTCGAAGTAAGAGGGCTGATTACTGGTTTACCCAATATAATTGACATTCCAGCCATAAGCCATGGAAGGTAATACTCCGACACATGACACAAGAAACTTGTCTGAGACTGGTCAGTTGCAAAAAGAACTACATTCCATTTGACAGATGTCTGCCTCAGCATACCAGCCGAGTGATCAATCTGACAGTGCCAACATATTGATCTTTTGACTGCCAAGCTTAACGTTTCAGAATGGGAAAGGATCCGCCTTCACTCATCCCGCATAGTCTCAGAAATTAGTGCCGAACACACTATCGCAAGTTCAACTACATCAAGCGGCTGCGTAGTCTTAGAGCTACTAAACCAGTCTGAATTGTATATCATGTATTCTCTTCTGATCCACATTCTGAACCTATCATGCGTATTTAGATAGGTCAGGTTGCAGCCCTCAACCTTTGAACAAAAGCTACATCGCTAAAGCCAGTTTTCCTAGGCTTCATTGGGTTACTGATGAACTTGAACCCTATCGACAGCAGGAAAGACTAGGTACCTAATCTAGGGTTTTTTTTGTAATTGTATTATTTCGGGCCTAAAATTCAAAAAGAAATCAAGTCGTATCTAGAAAGACTTCTGATTTTGTTGCCCTTGATCCATAGACCCTAAATCCAAGCCAAGGTCATTTGCGAGGAAGAACCAACATAAGATAAATTAATGCACTAAACATTGTGATACTTAATATCCCTGTTTTCTTTTCCTCTAGTGCAAAGGCTTATATTGCGTACTTGGGCATCAAATTTCACAAATCTGTCGAGTGATACTCTCACTGTACGACTGTGGCTGAGTCGACTAGGCGTGCATGAAGGCATACCCGCTATGGCAACCCGCAAACCCTGCCTATAATCGTGAAACACGTGCTGATTCAATAAGGAAAAAGCTTGGCTGACCAACACTCTCTTTTACCCCACTACTCGCTCTCTCGGCTCTCAACTTTCCGCCAACGTCCCGTCTAGTTGATCAACGGATATTACAAATACAATACATGAAAAGAAGCCCTCGCCGATGGAACAACTAAAATCGCTCGAACCAAATCCTCAAAATCTCTTGACCCTGCCACCTGAGATTCAAGCCAAAATCTTTTCACACCTTGCTGCCTCCTTCGGCAGGTCCAGTATTCAACCGGTCCTGAGAACCTGCAAGACGCTCTATGAGGTGGCACTTCCTATTTCCGTGAGCTTGTTTCGAAACACAGTGCAGAATTCCGAAGGCCAGGGACCGTGTTCTCGGATTCGCAACGCGCAGTTTTTACGCTACATTCTTGTTTCCAAGCCTTGGCTAGCCAAGCATGTCAACACCGTCATTTTTGGTCGGATTTCAAATGGGAATGACGAGGAAAGAAGAGCGTATACGACAGACGGGAAACCGGACCCAAGTATGGCTACCGATGAAGAGCTGGTTGTCTATAGTCAGCATATTGAGCTGATCTTAGGGCAGTTACCATCTGATTATACCAAGGGATGGTATAATCACTGGGTAATAGACCTTAAGAGGGGCACCTCCGATGCCCAGATAAGCTTGATTTTGCTGGCTTGCCCGAATATCCGAACAATCCTGTTTGAAATGTCTCAACACAAAAGTCATTTTCCCCGTCTGCTAAACCTAGTACGGAACCTGGTTGAAATAAATATCTCCATCCATACGCCTGGGTCTGAATGGGGCGACGGCAATCATCCGGATATGGTTATCCCGCTCTCAAATGTCCAAGACGTTTTTCATGAAACCGTTGATTACAGTAACGGCTACTCAGAGTTTGAGATGGATGGTCCAGACCTCTTTGCGCTTCCCCGCCTTCGGTTCTACGAATGCATTCTAGCTCGCGGGAATGACACTGCGGCGAGGAGATTTGGAGATCTGCTGCCTAGGAGCTCTTCGGTTGAAGAAATTACTCTACACTGCTCTGCCTCCACGCCAGGTGCGCTCAAGAAAATGATGCTTTCCTGTAAAGCACTCAAGAAATTTGAATTTACACATCATGGCTATTTTATGTCTGGCCTGATGATGCCCCGAGATATTTTGGATGCCATCTTACCACACGCTGAGACACTTGAGGATCTCTACATTAATATGGAAGAGGATTGGGATAAAGGGTGGAATTGGCATGATTGCCCTGGGAGATTATATATGGGAACAGAACTTCGCGAAATGCGTGTACTAAAGAAGCTTACAGTGGGCATGCAAGCCCTAACAGGTATGCTTGGTGCAAAGCCCGAGAATCATACCTCAGTGGCTCACCAAATGCCACTACAGGTTGAGGGAGCTCCCCAGCTTGTTGATTGCCTTCCTGAGAATCTAGAGTATCTCAAAGTCCGCGCATGCGGTCTAGGAATAGTGAATCAGGTGGCAGATCTAATCAGTGCTGTCGAAAAGGGCAGCCGCTTCAAAAAGCTAACATACATAGGCTTGCTATTTAATGGATGGGCCACAGAAAAAGGGGTTGACAAGAGTCAGGTCCGTTTGATCTGCAACGCACCTGGTTTGCACTTGGATGTTGGATTCCAAGACAATGTACAAGCAATTTACGATCTGGGACGAGATATTGGAGAGGGAGAGGGGGGACAACCCCGTACCTGTAACTTGACCTCTCGGATACACGCCCAGGATTCTCGCCAGCATTACTTCGAAACGCGAGGGAGCTCCGAGATTCCATGGTACCTGAAGAATACCGACTCATTTCAGGGATAACGTAATAGCAAATAAAAAATCATAACTATTCCCTACGTAGATCAATAAATTTTATATTCAAGGATATCTTTAACTTCATGACATACTTATCGAATTGCTAAGCTTACCTAGACATTGAGAGGTCATCGTTTTATCTCCATAATAAACCCATATAACTCAAACCAGGCTTAACGTTTGACGTAGCTTTCTAAGAGTACCTCGTCAGGGAAATTCCGCGATACCCCGTGCTCACAGTTAATAATCCTAATTCCTAAAACGTAGCAGATCTAGTGCTAGGATATGTCACTAGTTCACGTAGTCAACTGTGAGAAGAACCTGCTCGCCTTATTATTATATATGAAATTAGAGGCCGCAATTGAGTTATAATCGCCGGCCTACCTTTTGAGCCAGAGGTGCTATGAACCTTCATGTTTGGGAAGCATTCCAACTTCTTTTACCGGCCAACCGCCAAGACAGACCCTAATCATACTGGTGTTTCAGTGGAACACGTAGAAATTCGCAAGCTGTGAATCAACATTTGTTTAAAATATGTGGTCAACGAAGACATCATATATATAATATACGACATGTCAGGTGATGGCCGGGCTCTTCGTTTCAATCACTACCCTATACTATGGTGCATTTTCTCAAGTCCTGGAGATTGAGAATCCTAGTTTAGAAGGGAAAGCGTCTATTGGACTAAAATAATAGAAATATTAAAATCGTGAGAACTCAATTAATGATCGGAGGTGCTGCGCGTTGTTGGAGTTGGACATGAATAAGGTTTTGCGGAGGCCATCAAGGGGTGAAGAATTTTTGAAATCTTCCACCTTCACGTCATTGCAAAGATTATTTTCATCTTGACTCTAAATTGCCAGAAATGAGTTTCACCAAAGCTTTTCCACGACGATCCATTAAACCTACAGGGAATACCATCAGAACTCGATTCCTCATTCTGTCAGATACTCACGCATGCGATGTCACTGCGCCAAAACATTATGCTGACGTTGCTCTACATTGCGGCGATCTGACCCAGCGTTCGAAATTGTCGGAGTTCAGAAAATCATTAGCACTCCTTCAAAGTATCAATTCACCCCTGAAACTGGTTATTCCAGGGAATCATGATTTCACCCTTGATGAAACGCTATTCCGCGGAAGGGAATTCAAAACCCGCCGATTACTTTCTACAAAGGAGAGCGAGATGGAGTATGGCAGAACAGGGGACGCCATTGCCTTGATGGAAGAGGTAAGGGAGGCAGGCATTTTCTACCTGAAAGAGGGAACTCACCAATTCAAGCTAGGTAATGGGGCCTCACTCAAACTGTTCGCAAGCCCTTACATCCCATCGTTGTTGGAATGGGGTTTCAGATACGAGCCATCAGAGGGTCACAAATATGAAATAGAGGAGGGGACTGACTTGGTCATGACACACTGTCCACCAAAGGGAATCCTGGACGCCAACTATCAGGGAGATGAAGTCGGATGTCGACATCTATTTGAAGCGGTAGCTCGAATACGGCCTAGATTACATTGTTTTGGGCACTCGCATGAAGGATGGGGAGCTAAGTTGGTAACCTGGAGGGGAGATGCAGCGAGTAAAAGACCCTCACGCATGGCCGATGTTGACGAGTACCATTCCGTTCTGGTGCAAGATCTGGATGGGCTTCGAAGATCGAGCCAAGACGACGAAAAGGTAGTCGAGGAGAAGACCGAAATGGCCAGAGCAGCTTACAATGAAAGATGCTGTCGGACAAGTCACTGTTTTGACGACGACCATCCGATTACATTTGGGAGGAAAACACTTTTCATAAACGCAGCTGTGAAAGGAAATAAGGATGACGAGCATCCCATGCATCTTCCATGGCTTGTGGATGCTGAGCTTCCGGTGGCCAATGCGGATTAGAGGATGAACTCTTGCGACCAGCGGAGGTCGCAAAGGAACCTCCGGACTTACCAGGCGAACCAACAATATATTCTCGAATTGCCTATTCAGGGCATTCCCCTATATAGAGTAGAGTGAAAAGAAATTCTCAGAATTCCGGCTCCAATCACTGAAACATGGAGGCATAGCTGGAATTCCGAAATCACTCGCTTAACCCCTTGATGACGGGCACCAAATTATGCTTGAGGGTGAAAACTTGGCTCCAAGATTTACCACACCTACTTTGCAGCTTGTGCTTATTGAGCCCCGTCTTCTTGCATTGGCTGCCAGGAGGATCTGCTGGGTGCATCGGAGGAATGTGCTGTTGGTGATCGTGGCTGAAACGAACAAGCCTGCACGCCTATTAACTAGAATTGGAATCTCACGAGCCAAGACAAAACGCCACTCGTTTGGAAGTAGGAGGACTGAGCTACCCCTATTAGCCTAGACTCTGGGCAGCAGCATTCCGCTTCCCTGAGCTGGTTAGGTGTAGTTGTCAGATTTTCCAAGTGTCCTCTTTGTCCCTACTTAGATGCATGTTCTATTGTTATCATAGCCATTGTTCAACAACTCATCCATAGATGCCAGCTCTCGAGAAATCCCTACGTCCTATGTGAAAGAGCAAATTTTTACCCGCCACCGTTTTCATCTTCCTAATCAGGGGATGGTGGCAACAGCTTCAATAGAACCAGCGGCCAACCTAACCGGCTTGGTTGGTCCTGCTATTGATTGATAAGATCAGTTTTCAGCTCGGTGGATACCGAGACAAGCTAGACATGGATGGGGAGCTGAGCAGCCCAAGGAGAGAGTCAGAGTTTTCTTAGCATTTCGTGTTGGTCATTTTATCCTGCAGGTCTCTAGGAAGCATCCGGCCTTGGGAAACAGTGTTTTTGGCAACGACGGTGGTCAAACAGGGATTGGAGACGGAGTACGGTTGGTATATGAAGCAACTGGAAAGCGAGGCGGCTGCTGGCTCGCTTTGCGTGAATTATCAGATGGAGGGCCCCCACTTGGCCGTTGGTGTCTAATTTGCGAGTAGAGTCATGGCCCCATGAACGGACTGGAGAGCATAAAATAAGGTCAGCCAGGCAGGGGTGGAGCTAATATGGGCAGTTAGATCCGGAAGTCGGCAGCCGAAGGGAACGAGGAAGCGAGCGAGGGTCCAGTTCGCATGTGAAGAAGGCTCGTGGTCGTGTGTCATGAGTGATGTGTGAGGCTCCTCTCTACTTTCTCCTGTGAGCAAGAACGGTGTTGTTGTTGTTGTTGTTGTTGTTGTTGTTGTTGTTGTTGTTGTTGTTGTTGTTGTTGTTGTTGTTGTTGTTGTTGTTGTTGTTGTTGTTGTTGTTGTTGTTGTTGTTGTTGTTGTTGTTGTTGTTGTTGTTGTTGTTGTTGTTGTTGTTGTTGTTGTTGTTGTTGTTGTTGTTGTTGTTGTTGTTGTTGTTGTTGTTGTTGTTGTTGTTGTTGTTGTTGTTGTTGTTGTTGTTGTTGTTGTTGTTGTTCCAAGCTGAGCTGTGTACATGAAGCACCACCATCACCACCACCCCTTCTCCCCTTAGATGGTCAGCCTCACAACCTAATGTGAAGAGAGCTGGTGAGTGGAGGGCGGAGAGCACAGAGTAACCGAACGAACCGAGTCTGGAGTCTGGGCGCTGGAGCAAGATGGAGCTGGTAAACAGACTACTGGAATTCGAACCCTGCAACAGCATCGAAATTGCCACAGGCCTGTCCACCCATATGGCTCGAGTGAGTCACTTGCATTAGCCCCAGGCACAGGCCTTTGGGTGCTGAAGATGCCAGCGGCCAATCAGCTCCCGCGATCGTATCTGATGATCAGATAATTTTTTCTCAGCCGGATCAGCCATCGACTGCCACGATCCACCAACATGACTGCTAGCATTGACCACCACCACAACTGCTCTTCAGCATGGAAGCCTTGTCTTTTACGTAGGGAAAAACAAGGATGTGGCTATCCGACGTAACCGCCCGGCACGAGAGGAAGATCGTTTGGTTGGTCCGATCTGCCCTACCTACCATCCCATCACAGGCATGTTGAGGCAATCGATGATGCTTATGGGCTTGAGCATACAAACACACCCATGAGAGCTTGATCAGCCATGTCCTTTTGTACCTACCTACCTAGGCAGCTCTCTGGTAGCTATCCAGCGCGGCAGCCGAGGTTGCTCAGTCTGCTCCGACCGGGTCAGCCCACGGGAATTCACCCTGCTTCATTATGCCTTCATACGAACGTTCATGGAGAGAAAGCACTATCATATCGATTTGCATGTTGGTTCACTTGTTTGGGCAGTAAGCTGAGCCAACACCAATGCACCTAACAGGGCCGTGATCTCAATCCTTACTCCCACCCCCAAGCTCAGAACTTGCTTCCCGTTTCCGATTGAGGCAATTCGAGTCCCACTCGAACTAGAACGAACTCTCGTTTACCGAGTGGGACAAGCTCTGAACCTGCAACCCGTAATTAGTCGCCAATGCCGCCACAGTTTGAGATGATGGTGGAGTTGGGCACCCCCCTTGCCTGCGGCGTACCGTCTCCGAGCTCGCACTCTATCGTTCAAGCTTGCTTACCCGTTTGGCTACCAGCTGCCTCTTTGTTCCTGTTTTGGGCTAATTTCATTTGGAACTTGGGTTCCTAGTGGTCATCCTCGCCAAGCTAGCTGTGAGTTGGGTGTGAGCTATCCGCCCTGGCCCTGGTCGATATTGGATTATCCCGCAGCCCAAGCCGTCAAGCTGCTCTTTAATCGATCCAGCTGCATCAATCAGGTATAAAGAAGCTCCTCCCAGGCTAAGTGGTCCCCTTCTCTTGTTCCTCACTCACGCATTCAACCCAGTCCTGCAGTCTCATTTCCACGATCGCTAGATATTACATTCGTTCAATTCGATCTCCAGATCAACAACTCCCCAACGCTAATATCAAAATGAAGTCTTTCACTGCCGCCGCCGCCCTCACCCTGGCCACCCTGGCCAGCCAGGCCCAAGCCCAGACCGGATGCGCTGTTTCATGCTTCCAGCAGGTCATCACTGATCACCCTCCTCTGTCCTGCACTGAGGCCAACATGTACCTCTGCTTCTGCAAGGACACCGGCCTCCAGAACTACTTCATCGAATGCGCCAAGTCTTCCTGCGGCACCAACTACCAGACTGCCATCGAGTTCGGTTACAGCCTGTGCAGCGGTACGTGGTGATTTCACCAGCAGCAGCCCTCCGACACTCTCGTTCAGTGACTAACATGACTCTTCTCTATAGATCTCGGTGCCCCCATCAACACTGCTCAGCCTAGCAGCTCTGCTGCTGCTCAGCCTACTACTTCCGCTGCTGCCCAGCCTTCCTCCTCCGCCGCTGCCGCCTCTTCCTCTGCTGCTGCTCAGTCTTCCTCTGCTGTTGCTGCCTCTTCCTCCGCCGCTGCTGCCTCTTCCTCTGCCGTCGCCGCCTCTTCCTCTGCTGCCCAGTCCTCCGCTGCCGCCAGCTCCTCCAAGGCTTCCTCTGCTCAGGCCTCTGCCACCGGCGCTTCCTCTTCTGCTGCTGCCGCCACCTCCGCCGCCACCACCCCCGGAGCTCCTGCCCCTACCACCGTCCGCACCACCACCGTTGCCCAGCCCACTGACGGCAACTCCACCACCACCGTCGTCCCCGTCAACGGTGTAAGTATCCCTCCTATCCGAGAAACCTTTGCCCGAAGCTGACTTTGAAAAACACAGGCTGGTGCCCTTGCTGGATCTGGCTTCGCCGTCGTTGCCGGTGTTGCCCTGGCTGCTCTCCAGCTCTAATTGCAGAGTCGTTGGGAAACTCTGCTGCTCCCGTTGTGGTCATCTAGGTATAGAGTCATAGTTGTACATTAGTTGATCCGGGCTATCAGCCTATAATCTTAATATCACCCGGCCATTCCTCCCGAGGAGGGTCAGTTTTCAACACCTAAATACCGAGTTCCACGTCAGGTGATTGCTAGCCTAACCGAACATCTTTTTTTTGCTTTCTATTGTAGTTGCGTCAGGGTTGAAGCAAGTGTTTGTCTGTTGGAAATGAAGGTTCAACTATTCACCGGGTGAGTTGAGTTGTGATGTGATTTCAAAGTCAACCTAAAGCAAAATCACTTTCACACACCGTGATTTTCATATGGGGGGGAGAATATCTAGCATCTAAATTTGGTATTCAAACTGGATGTTCAGAGGAATATATTTGCTATACTAACGCACAACTCAAAACTTGTCCAGAATGACCTTGATGTCTAAGGGGTTCAGCATTACTAGATGCTTAAAAGCTCGAACTACGCTGCAAACTAGGCTTTATAAAAAGAAAAAACTATCTAGTTCATGATTCTTATCTTTCACCTTTCACAATGGTATTCTCCTCTGAAGAGACATGGTAAGTTGATCAATAAATGCTGCAATATCAACTATCACTCATAAGAAACATAGCAAATACCAAGAGTACTATTGACTAGTCATTTGCTAGCGGAACCAACGGACTGCTCTCAAAAGGGCAAAGGGGTTGTCCTTTCCTTAATCTTGGCTTCATTCTCCGCCCTCACACGAGAACCGAGACACCTTCCCGGATGCCAAATAGCATATAAAAGCACTGCCAACGCCACAGGTGCAAACTCCAAGCAAGCAAAGAAGGTTTCGTTCCGTAGCAGCGCTCCTCCGAGCCCCTCGGCCGTTTCCGCCAGTCGGAAGCAGGTTCTGAGATAGATGAGCACGGCTGCAACGGCGAACACCAAGCTGAAGGCAGTGAGCCCAGAAGAGCTGATGGCTCTCCGCGCGCGGAAGAGGAATGCCGCGGTCATGAGGACGAACACGCCCATAGAGAACACCTGATATGCGAGACCCCCGAGGAGGATGTTATTGGCGGTTGTCGGGTCCTTCCTCTTGGTCTGGCTGACGCCTATGAGGGCAGCGCCCGTGACCTGGGTGAGGGTTGCGATGACATCGGAGGTGATGAAGAACCAGAGGATGAACTTGGGCGGGAGGAAAGAGTATTGGCGACCTAGTCGAGAGATTAGGGCAGAAAGAATGGTGTAGATGCCTGCGGCGAGGAAGACCGGGGCGGTAACGATGAAGAAGTACTGGAGGATGAAGTATATGAGGTTGTAGGGAGACACTTTCGCAGACAGAGACCGGGAGACGTAGCCGACGATTTCGAACGCCAGACCGACAGGAAAGGTGATGAACCACCAGCTACGGTGGCGGATGCATTGGGCGAGATGGACGATGAACAGGAGCGAAAACCAGACGGCGGCGAAAAGAGCGATAGACAGCTTGGGGGTATAGCCGTAGATGATAACGGGAGTGTCCCATTTCCCCCCTAGATTAGGAAAGTCAGGGTCGACATAGCCTTTGCAGGTTAGCTCACTATATTCTACAAAGAAGAATAATCATCTATGATCACAGAGAGAAGGGTGGAACGTACCCCCCGAGCTGCCAGAGGAACTGCTCATGGTTTGCTGGGAACAACTTATCAACCTTGCAATAAAATATTATATACAAAAGCAAGAAGAATAGTAGACAGAGAAATATGAAAGCAATCACAGAGGGGTCTCGACCCTTAACACCTCTCTCTATGAAAATGCCATCTACCTCTTTAAGGTTAAATACAAGCCCTCGATGCCGCTAAAACAGGGGGGTCAAGCCCTTGAGAAATCATACACTGTGACGTCCACGACTTTGCTGCAAACTGCAACACATCGCCATTGACCACTCAGAGACCCTTAATTGCCATGTACAGGCGCCCAGAAGCAGACGAAATGTTCGAATCCCATGCATTCAGCCGTGGTTGTGGGGGCGTAACATCTCGGCCTCCGGCAATGCCAAGAAGTCCGACATGTGCGAGCACTAGCTGCTGTTGATCAAGGGGACCAAATCTGATCGTGAGCCAGGCTCGTGGGAGCCGCCATCGTGTTTTCATACAGTGAGATCGATCTGGAAATCTCAATCCGGAAAGGAATTCGTTGGTGGATGCTTGTCGCCCCATCAATCACAAGTCATATATAACATCGTTGGCACTTTGTTTGGCGCTCAGATATAATTAAAAAATGATCCAAACATGAACCAATCAGGTACGTTCCCTTGATTTCAGGGTATTTCAAAAGAGCAATCAAGGAAAATTGATACCAAGAGAATACACATTACACGAATATGTGAGGTAAATCAGCTCTTTGTGTAAAGAGGAGCTGTGCCCTCCTCTGCGACTGTTTCAAAGATCGTCTCTCGCATCCGCAATAAATTCTTCCGGGCCCTTTCCAATTCAATCTCCACCCTAGGAAGCTCCTTGTTGACCTGGTTCAACTCCTTTTCTATTTGGGGGGCGGCGTTACGCAAGAAATCAGACAGCTCTGATACATCCACTTGAGTCTGGCGAATCTCGGACTGAAAGATGAATTCCGTTTTGTACATGAAGCTCCCCTCATCAACGTACGGCCTCGGAATATTCTCAAGCTGTAATTTGGAAGCATTCTCCTTGGCTAAGTTGACTGAGCTCGCAGCTTTCTGGAGGCACTGCTGCACCTTCGGCAGGAACCGTTCATCAAGCTGCCCATCCTCGAATGCAACACGAGCCCTCATCAACTCCAAAAGTGCAGCATCCGCTTCTTCTCTAGCCTTGTTCACTAAGTCTAGCTTAGACGATGCGTTGTCATGCCGGACATGGGTGTCATGATACACTTGCAGAAAGGTCTCAGCCTCCCGCTCGGCCACATCCTCGTCTGGAAACTCTGGCGTCGGTCCCGCGAAGATCTCCTCATAGAGCTCCTCGAGTTGGCGCTGGGTCCTCTGGTGCAACGACTCGGCATCCTCAAGCTCACTCTGAACCTTCAGCACCCCATTGAGCTGGAGCTTGAGGGTCTCATTCAATTTGTACTCCTCCTGTTCCGCATGGAGCACCTCCAGGTATGTCTTTTCCTCTTCCTCGACTCTATTCTGAAATTTCTGCCGTTGGCCTGCTGCCGTGTAGATCATGCGCTTGAAGCTACTGTCGCGATGCCGCTCATGGGCTTCTCGGCCCCTTAGTCGCTGCGCTTCAAGACTCTGGAGCTTGTGGTCTGAAGCAGACAGCCGTGCCTCAGCTTCGCGGACAAGACGCAACTGCTTCTTTAACGACGGCTCCGCATGTTCCGTTTTTGACAACACCCATTTAAGGTCTGACTGCCGGGTCTTGGCGTTGGATATCAGGGTTTGGATGTCTTGGGACATGATGTGTATAGAACATATCGTTTTTCAATTCTAAGCCATTTGTAAGAAAGGAAGAGCACACTTGGCATTATAGCAGACAAAGTCCCTTCGGGATGTCTGGAAGTATATATGAATGATTCAAGGCACAGCAATTCTTGGCACCGATCATTGACGAAACAGCTCTATGTGGCTGTGTCGGATGATATGATGTGTCTACATGTACGCAGTAAGCAGGATACCACCTGGAGGACAAAGAACACACACGGGTCGGGCCATACAAGGCCATTTAGACTTCCGGTGCCCTTGCCCAGGCCGATGGGATAGCACGCACGGATTATCTGTCGGCGTTCTTGGTGCTGGCCCTGGTACAACTGAGGGTGGTGGTTCGCCAATTACCGTAGGCATCATGATGCACTGCCGAGTTAGTGGGTCGGACAGCGGCCAAGATTCTCACCCCGGGCATCATTAATATTACAGAAATGAAGAGCCATGGAATACACAAGCGCGATACACTCTCTCTCTCAAGCTGCATTGGCCAAACGAGCATGCATTCAGCGGGGTGCAGGTGTGGACAATGGAGCCGAGACTGAAGCGATCAAGTGAATGACGAGTGCGAGAAATTCCGGGTGGGCAGGCACCGGCTGGTCATTGGCAGGAAAATCCTCCAGCAGCCGCATCCCCACAGCCAGCAGAAAACACAGCTAAACGCTGCCGAAGCTCTCCAGCGTCATCACCAGCGCAGGCCTCTCGCACCAATTGCCTCCAATGTCCGCTCCAAGGCGCTTGCTGCCTCAAGCCAGGCGCCTCGGTCTGACTTTGAGGCCCAAGGCAGCGCAGGCGCAGTCCAAGTGCCCGTACTGCTCCCTTGCGCCAGCGTCCCGCCCGTTGATCCGATCCCAGCGCGACGAAACCGCTCGGAGACACCAATCCACGACCTCGCCCTCCCCGAACCCGCGCCAAGAGCTCGAGCATGCTCTTACCGAGCTCCAGAACCATGCGCCTTCACTGGTTGACCCCTCGAGACTCCAGCTGGCCCTCCAGGGACTGAGGCATTCTGCTGGTACCGAAGCTGTACGGATAGCCATTCTTGGCCTTGGGAACGAGAGCAGCTCCACCAGCACTGCCAAACGCCTCCTACGTGCGCTACTAGCTGATCCTCTGGTAGATCAAGAGGCGTGGGAGCGTGAGCTGGATGCCTACGATGTAAACCAACCACTCATAGTGCGAATCCAGCACGGCGACGTCAAGAGCGGCTTGACCATGGAGCGGCACGCTTCGCTAAACGAGATTACGATATCTTCACCAAGTCTCAACGGATCCAACCTCGAGCTTTTGTTGATGGATACAGTGCTTCCTCGGTCGCCCCCGGGGGGAGCATCAGCTTCTTCGGTGGAGAGCAGCATTCTCAACCCCGTCGTCGATATCCCCATCGGGGAAGATCGATATTCCCAGGTCGAAACCCCGGTTCATAAGACTATCCTAATCACTGATGGTTTCTCGGGCGCAGTTTCCGTATCAGCGGCGTCTGGGAAGGCACTTGATAATATTGAATCTGTGATCGCGGCGACAAACATTCCAGGGATGGGCAAGCAAGCAGCCGGGGCCCAAGTCGAGGTAGTAGATCTCTCTCTCGCAGAAAAAGCCATCGGACTATTCCGCCAAGGTCCTCAGCATGCTATGGAATACGAGAAACTATGGACTGCTAGCAATGTCTCGGTACTCGTCCACTGGCTCAAACAGGGCATCCACACTGCAGATGGCGCAACCAAGCCGATTGTCAGGAGGCTCATTGCGTCAGTTCTGCAGGGCGTCACCGCTCAGCTCGATGGCGAGGAAGCACGCGAGCTTTCTAAAGCACTCGGGGTAAAGGAGCTTCCTGAGAGGGATAACTTGAACCAAGCCCTTGCCCAGTGGTCACAGAATGCACACTCCGAACTCCAGTCCGAGTTGGATCAAGCATTCACAGGTCGCAGATGGAGGAAACTGGGCTGGTGGAAGCTGTTCTGGCGGGTTGATGACGTTGCCATGCTTACAAACGAAATGCTCAGCCAACGCTTTCTCCCAACTGCAGAGCAGGAGATTGTTTATCTTACCGGCCGCATTGCCGGCCCCAAGGGGGCGAATCCAAATTACGCACAGCCAAAGCCGTCCCAAGCCCTAGAACGCAAGGCCACAAAGCTAGGTTCGGGCGAGGAAGCACCCATCCCAGCAGGCCTACCAAGATGGCCAGGCCACATCGCCTTCACCCGCCGCTATCTACAGAACGAGAGTGTTCCCGCCCTGCAAGCCCTAGCACAGAAGCTTGTTATGCAGTCTCTGGGAACATCCGGTATCGCCACATCCTTGGCAGCCACGATCTACCTCACGTCGTTTGTCTCGACTGCTTACGAGGCTGGCGCCGTGGCGGCAGTGGGCATAGTATACAGTCTAGGCAGGATGCAGAAGAAATGGGAGACCGCTCGTGGCTTCTGGGAGGGTGACGTTCGGGAGGAAGGCCGCAAGGCGGTGCGAGGAGCTGAGAAGAGCATAGCAGATGCCCTCAATGGCGGCAAACCTGCTGAGGATGCCGAACTCTCAACAAAAATACAAAAGACTCGGGAACTACTGGCCCAAGCGGAGGATGCCCTTGGGAGAATGAAATAAAACAAGGAGTTCATGTAACCATACTGCCATATAGATGTATTACCATATCATTGTCACGAGTTAGGCTCCATAATTCATTCACAACATACTTGTCGCCGCAGTGCCTCGGCTTGGAACATTGGTTCAAAACGTCTTTCTGCCCCTCTCCCCTAATGCTGTCGGTGTATCTTCATCCCATGACAAATCTCAGTTTTCTTCAGCTCCCATATTTATCTAGGCGCCGAGTGCCAATAAACGCCGAAACCCAAATATTACGACCAAACCATGTCGTCATTGCATGCCAACCTCCTCGACAGATGACCCAGCTTCTCTTGCCATTGTGCTCTCAGGCTTTCCAGCATGATAATCAAAATTCCGTCCTCCCCCCCCACCTTCTGTCCTCTGATTTACCGACCGCCGCCTCTGCCACCAGCGCGGGCACGGCTGACGGTGGCACGACCTCTGGCCAGACCGACACCACGTCCGCGGACGTTGCGGCTTCGGAACATGGGCGCATTACGCAGCATGTCGGGGACGATGAAGAAGCGGACGTGGGAGCCTCGGATGTAGACCTGGTCGAGGTGGGAGACGCGGCCGTCGCGGGCGGTGACGGTGATGTCCTTGAGTTGGACGTTCATGTTGTCTTCAGCTACATGAGGAAAACGCCAGGTCAGTAATTGAGAACTCCCAAGATTCTTAAAATAAGGCCCCGCGAGGGGGGAGGATGGCTTTGTACTTGCCTTCGAGGAGCTTGCCACGGTAGGTCTGGCCGGAGGTGATTTCGAGGGTAACAATGTGGCCCTGTGTCTCGGGTTAGCTTGGGGGGCTCGGGCTCGCGGGGTCCGGGGGTGCTTGACCGTACCTCTGCCTCATTGAGGAGCTTGATTGGGATGCCGATGGTGGAAGTCATGGTGGCGCGGGAACAGATGGGAGGAGTCTTGTCGCGTGCTGTTGGGAGCTTCTCTGCAACTGTCGTGAAATTTGGAGATTGAAGTCGAGCTCATTGGGGCGTTTGTCCAAACAGGGTTTAGCGCTTCTCCAGCCACATACGCACCAGCCTCAGCATCCACAGCACAATGTGACTGCAGGTATCTCAATTCTTTCCTACCTACACATATCAGTTTTACGAAATTTGCTGTGCTGAAATGTATTCGAAATAGGGAGGCGAAAGGTAGGCTTCTGACTCCCGACGGTCCAAGTTAGTTTATTTGTTGGTATTTGACAATATTTCGCAGGTCTTCCACTCATTGCCAAACCAACGATCAATCAACTTAGAACATGGAGTGCAGTGAAGGCAATTATGCTAGAATGTGCTAGGCAGAGAGCTCGGCAGTCTTATCAATCTGATTAAAATTGGAATTGGGCTCCAGAAAAGTGTTTATTCAGAGCTTCAAACGATGGCTCGCCATGTTTGACCGTTCACATGCTAACGCCCGTCCAGGAACTTGTGATAGAGGGGTTGTCCCCTCATCTAGCAGAAGGTGTGGCAGCCTCAAAAGCATATTTAATGGAATGCCGAAACACATCATAGGTACGACGGATACGAGTATAAATAGCTCCTCTTGCCAGCATCCGAGTGCAATCTTTCCTCAAAGTGCAGGCATGCCCTTATTTCAGTCCGGAACTATTCCCAAATTCCTCCAATTTCCCCCTAATAAATAGAAGCATCAAGATCATGGGTCATCAAGCCGGTCTTGTAATTGACAAGCCGGGCGAGGCATTCTGGGTGGTCCGGGACATCCGCCCCCCATCTCCAGGAAAGAAGCAGGTCCTGGTCAAGTCTCAGTTCGTGGCTCTCAACCCAATGTAAGGGTCTACTTCTCTATCTTAGGATCTGAGTAAGAGATTTGTCTAATCTTCTCCCCAGTGAGGTTCTCATGGCCCAGAGCGGCATACTCACCACCGAGATGCCCGCTATTCTTGGCTCTGACTTTTGCGGGATTGTCGACGAGGTGGGCAGCGACTGCACCAAGCTCCAAGTTGGTGACCACATCTTTGGGCTCTGCCGCCTCGGCCAAAATCCCTACTCCCCATTCCAAGACAGATTTCTAGTCGACGAGGACTTGGCTTTCAAAAAGCCAGAGAGGGTGGACGCCGAGGTCGCTGCCAGTGTCGGCGTGGGTGTATTGGTATGACACCCTATCGCAGGCTTTCCCCGTATTGGTCATCTCATTCACTAATTGAATCAAGACGTCTGCATACGGCATCATTGTAGGAGGAGATGTCGATTTGCCCAAGCCCGGTCAGGAGGTCAAATCAAAGGACGAATGGATCGTCGTCCTTGGCGGCAGCGGAACCGTTGGCCAGTATGCGATACAGGTAAGGCCAGATGCTTCTCTATTTCTCCTTCGTAGCGAGAAGCTAACTATGTCCAGCTCGCTCGGCTGTGTGGCTACAAAGTTGCGGCTTCGTGTTCTACCGCCAATGTTCCCGTATGAGCCTCCTTGGAATGTCTCATGTTCACATTCATCTGACGTGCCACATGAATAGACTGTCGAGCGTCGTGGTGCCAATGCCAGCTTCAACAGTCGTTCTTCGCCACAGGACCAGGCAGAAGAGATCCAGAAGATAACCAGTGGCGATTTCAGCCTCGTATTTGATGCAAGTGGCGTCAGCCAGAATGCTGCGCTGGCGGCGTTGAAGAACTCCACCAGATCGAAAAAATACTTCAGTACCGTTGACGATTAGTACGTTAGCCGTAAGACATCCTCATCCCGGTTCCACTGAAGCTAATCACAGAAGCAGCACCAAAATCGACGTTCCTAGTGATATCAAGGAATACCGAGTAGAGGCAGGCCATCTCGGTCGAGACACCACCCTCGGTCGTCAAGTCACTGATGAGGCGGCGCGCATGATCCCCTTGCTTGAGGGCCACATCGAATACGGAGCCATCGTCCCAGTTGACTGTGAATTGTACAAAGAATCGGTCTGGGGAGCTTTGGCTGAAGCCATCGCCTACTTTCAAGCTGGTCATGCTAAGAAGAAGCTGATTGTTCGTGTCCAGGACTGACGGAAATTTCTCGGAATTTTGGTTTTTATGTTTTTTGAATAATAACATGCGATCCTCCCTTGAATATTGCTTACCGGCATTTCAAAGACACACGCCCTCAGGTGTTCTTAGGGTTATAAGAGGAATGTTGGGTTGGTTTTTTTGAATAATCGCATATGCTTCTCCTTCTTGGATTTTTCTTCTTTGGCATTTTAAAGGTACACGTACTCAAAGACTCGGGGTTGTGAGCTTGTTTTAGCCGGGTATTGTGTTCACAGTAGCAAATGTTAACCAAAACGCATCATAACCAAGCTAGAACGGATGGGAATTGTCAAGCTGTGCGATGATCAGGTGTAGCCAAATGCCTCTATCTCAAAATAGCTAACGATTTCCAAGAGCTCTACTGTGCCTCGCCGTTGGCTTGGTCCTGCTTTCGTTTCTTCTTGGAATGGAGCGCATCCCTCTTTTCTTGTTTCCGTGCCGCCTTGTCGAGGCTCCCGACCACCTTCGCCTCGTTTCCGCACGGCCATTTCGCAAATGCGGCTGCCTCGTCTTCCTCACTCCACTCGGGAGGCAGAGTCGCGAATACGAGATAAGATGTGTGAGATTTCAGTTCTGCCTCTGGCCGATGTACAAGCCGGCCCTGCATCCATGACTTCTCTGTGGAAGACTCGTCCAACTTGTTATTAGCGTTTGGCTCGCGTTCCGAGTTTGAGCCATCAACATCCATCTGGTCATTCTGCCCTTCCTCTCCTCTATTTGCCTTGATCCGTGTAAATTCTCGCGTCTTCTGGTTGACCTCTCTTAATTTCGAAAGTGCCTCTGTGACGTCTGCTGGGTTGGGGTTGGCGCCCTTCTCCTTAGGAAGATACGAGCCGATGCGATCTCGTTGCGAAACCAGGCGCCTATTTGACACTTCTACCATGTCAACTTCAACCCACCCCAACTTTCTTAAATCACTGACAGTCTGTATCACCTGTTCAATGCATGGAGAAAATGTACAGATCATGGCAGTCTTTCGAGGGTCCAGGGGCGAGACCCATTCCGAATCATCGTTGGGATCTTGCTCCATATCCTGCGGCCGCCTTCGCGAGAGGTGACGGATCGCTTTCCAAGGTGCAGGCAGATCGAGGAAGACTGCCGACGCCATGGGAGACTTCCCGTCGACCAGGAATCCCTCTTTGTACACATCGCGGTGCTTGATCGAGACAAAATCTTTCAAGGAATGCGACTCCACCTCCTCCTCCATCTTGCGAAAACGGGCCTCGTTGAACTCGAAACTAAATACCTTGCCCTTTCGATCGTCATCGGACTTGGGGGCTCCATTGTACACAGCACGTACTGAAGCATGTGTAAAGCTACCGCTCCCGGCTCCTGCCTCAATGATCCTCGTCCCGGGTCGCGCGCGAATTCGGTTGAGGATGTAACTGTAGTCCGGCGTGTACACTACCTGTGTGCGATGCGGCAAGCTGTAAGTCCACAGCTCTGGGGACGGGCGCAGAATATGGATGAACCCACTTGACGCTGTGACGGCCTTTTTGGCCGGCGCGGACGTCGGAGTGGCTGTGCCTTCGGTGTCCTCGAGAGCGGGTGTCGAGGCATCATCTCCAGAGTCGTCTCGTCTTCGCTTGCGTCCTCGCGAGCCTGTGTCGACGGCTGACGCTCGAACCTGAGAGCCCCAGGGGATATCGAGGAGGGTCGAGTGGGGGAACGATCCGAATCGAGTGTTCAGCGTTGCTCCCTCGGCGTAGCCGTCGACAGCCCCGGTGGAATGCTCCAGGATCAGAGGCTCGTAGCTGTCGCGCGCGAGCAGGACAACCGCGAGGTCTCCGGGTTTGGACCGCTGCCCAGGTTCCAAAAATTGAGGAATCGTCGCCATGGTTTTGTAATGTCTCCTTCTCTTCTCCCAGGAAATATGTCTCGGGTGGGCGAATGGTTCGAGGGGTCGTGGTGTTTTCAATGCGAAACCCTGGTTCGCTCGGCTGGTCGGTCGAGTCTTGAGCTTGATGCAGGAAAAAAAAAGTTCAACCCACCTAATGCGGTGCAGCACTTGGAGGTGGGTGGATACACTGTAGATCCCGCTAACAGCAACCTAAACCCCACCAATTGATATCCCAACTCCGACTGCGCACTGAAGGCCAAGTCTGCCAACTGAACCACAGGCGGGAATGAAGTCACTTGGGGGGAATATCTCGTGCTTGGCCTTTCCTTTATTACCCAATCTTAGGGCCAATTGTCTTCCAGCCAAATATGCAAAAATCCATGGACATGGTTAACCTCGACAGGGATTCGCGAGCAGGAAATATCCCAGAAAAAATAGCCGATGACGCTTCATGATAGCTGTAGCAGAGCTAGTGGGGTGTTCGCCGTGCAGCATGGCTAGGCCCCTTTTCCTCCTTAAACACAAAGACCACTCCGCTCTTATGCGAAAAGCAGCCTCCCCTGCTACTCAACGATGCTGAAGAGCTCACCGCGGACAAATATATCACTCCCCGGAATGTTACATCTACCAATGTTCTCTCAGGCGGCACCATCTCCAATCAGAGAAAGCTAGACGATGACGAGGCCAAATTAAGGATGCGCCCCAACAACATGGGTGTCGCACCGAGCTCGAGAATTGCGAAAGAGACGTTCTCTGGGTGCGATGGAACCTCCTTCCATACCTTGACTCACTCTACAAGGAGACAGTTAGCAGTCAGGAACAATCCATGTTTAGGGGTTGGGGGGCTCTTCATGGATGATATTGATGCATTGAATATCCTGGCGCTTGGCTACCATCACTAGGGTTCCCGAGTACTTTACCCATATCGTCAAATTTGTGAAAGAATCGTGGACAAGGGTCTTGCATTTGAGGCTGGAGTTTCGGTCTACTCTGACATTGGCACTTTGAAGAGCGGAAACGCTTACGCCCACCTACGGCC